TAGTTCATTTTTAATCTCCTTTTAATCCCATCTTGGAAAAAATATCAGCACCTAGGGATATGAGAGCAGGAAAAAGCCAGGAAAAAGAGTTATTCAAAGTGGCAGTGAAATCAAATTCCTTTTGAGGTTAAGTGAATACACAGGCTACTTTGTGAGTTAAGAACAAACAAGACTGTTCCTTTCTTTCCACCTTAGGTTCAATTCCCTGTCATATCCAGTCAGTGTTAGCAATATTATTAAACATTATTTATATTATTAAACATTATATTTTCATTTGCTGTTAAAAAACACAAGGGTACTTTATTATTCCTTTTTTTTATTGAGGTCATGTTGCTTTACATCATTATTTGTATTATATTGTATTTTGGGACACCCTACCCCGGCTTCGTGTTATTACCATAGTGCACCCACCACCAAGCACTTATGTTCTACCACCAGAGTCCATTGTATCCCTCACCACTCTCTCTCTCCCCTCCCTTGCCCCTCCACCTCTGAATTCCTCAGTTCTATAGTCAGCTTTCAAGGGTTAGTTTTTAAATTTGGTTTTGTCTGACACTTTGATTTCTCTATATTCCACTTACAACTGACATCATCTAGTATTTGTCTTTCTCCTTCTGATTTATTTCACTTTGCATCATTTCTGGAAATAGGGATCCTTTAGATAGTATGACTTCGATAGGGCACGAATAATAATACATTTTTGTCACTCACAGCTAGGGTAGGTGTTATAATTCATATTACATTGAGTGCTAATAAATGTAAATGTTCCTGTTTCTGTCCCTGCGCTAAGGTGGGTAATTCATTCATGGGATGCCTGCACTGTGCCAATCAAAGACTTCTTACCTTCAGGCGTTTACAGTCTCTTGGGGACATAGTTTAAGAGAAAATGATTTTAAACATACTACACTGAATATACTTTCCCCTTGGCTTAATAGATTTATTTCAGTAAACAGGTAGAATGAGTATTTGTGTAATTATATCTCCTGTCCCTTGAATGATTTGGGGTTAACAGGGAACAAAAATACTTTGCCCAGCAACAGTCAGTGATCTTTATACCGGGAGCAACTCTCAGTCTCTCATTGCATATCCATTTGTGCGGGGCTTGCCTGTTTCAGTTTGTTCATTTCAATCTGGTTGGTGAACAGATCGAGTACTTTCATTTTCTCAATGAATGGTTTTATTTCAACTATTATGTTTTGGGATGAGACTTGTTAAAGGATGCTAACAAAGTTAATATAAGCAAGAAATTTTACTTATATTTTTATATATTTATATATTTTTATATATTTTATATTTGTTTATAATTATATTTATATATTTTAAGTTATTTGGAACTGTAGCTATTTCAAGTAATTTATATTTTGATCACTAGATGGCACTAAGCACATGTAGCTAAGGAGAAAAGAGCCTTTTTATCAAATATTATTACTGAATACAGAAACTTAAATATGTAAAGATTTCAGAAGTATATACAATATACCTTTTTTATCCAGCCCCTAAAATTCCTTTTGCTACAGAGGCTTTGTTTTTCTAGGTGAACTCTCACTTAAGACTCCTTAGGATACATTCTGAGAGCTGCTTAACTTCTGTATTGATTTGATGAATACCCATCCATCAAATTGTGGTATTCTTAGCTCTTCAATTTTATGTTTTCTTTCTTAATTTAGTCATTTCTTGATACTCCCTTCTCTTCCCTGGTAAACAGAAGATAGGTTTTAATTTTGCTAAGGGCCTCTGGGATATTGGGAGATCCTAGAAATTTACATAAAAAAGTCCCTTAAGGGCAAATTGCCAGAAGAACACAAGCTTTGTCTTCCTTCTAAATTGCCTGGTGTCTGTTCCTCTCTGTTGTAACATACCTTTCTTTTGTTGGGTTATTATTTTTTTAGTTTGATTAATTGATTTTATTAATTCTTGCGAGGTATTTTCTGAATAGAAATGCTCTAGGTTACAAAAACAGATACCCTTTATGTTGAAACTGTTAATTAAACTCAATTATTTCGCATGACCACAAGTCCAGTGTTTGGATGGTATTCCCAACAGCAGTTAATTCATTATCTTCATCAGAAACCTACTGATGTCTTAAGGGAACCAGGCACCTTTCAGATTCTCACTTGGCCACCCTGTTGATAGTGTAATTTCAGGTTTTCAGGCTGAGTCTCCCAGCCAGGAGTGGATCCCAGGCTGCAGTGGCAGCGCTGAGTCCCAGCTACTAGACCACCACGGCTTGGTGTCTCACGAAGCCCCAGCAGGAACCTCACTGACGCTCAGGCAAGCAAGCAAAGAGGCACATTTGTTTAGAGAAAAAAAAAAAAGTTTATTGAGGAAAAAAGGAACGGAAATAAAGTGTAACTGTTATAGGACAGGGAGAGGGGCAGCCCAAACCCTGCAAACCTGCCTATTCTACATGGGTTCTGCCATCCGCCGCATCAACACAAAACATAGGAGACTTTAATGGGAAGGAACTTTAATAAAACTAGGAAACAATACAGGTAAGGCGAAGAGTCTAGTTTCTAAATGAAGCATCCAGAGTTACCCGTCCCCTCGTGGGTAAAAGTCCATCCAAATGGGATTCGCCCAGAACAAGGCCCCAAAGCCTGCTACAAGTCTAAAGCATCTTCCAGTGGGGACCCACAGAAAAGGGTCACAAACAACCGGACAAGCCCGGAAGGAAAAGAGCAAAATCAACATCAAGATAAAAGCTGCCATTGTCACCTCCCCACGGGTCTCACCCACATCTGTGTCACCCAGTCTACGACCAAAAGACAAGCGCAGTTTCTTCACGTGTCTCTAGGCTCCATGCGCCTCCTCCAGGTCTCCTGGCTCCATCCTGCTTCCTTCCTCAGTCTCTTCTGCAGCTTCTCCTCTTCCTGCTCAGCTCCACCCTTCCTTGGGTGGGGCAGGGAACCTGGAACCTCCCCCTTTCCTGGGGACCACCCTGTTACATAACTAGGCCCATGTAACCAGGTCCGGGAGGGTCAAGGAAGCCAAAATGGAGTCATCTCCTTAAGGGAATATATACCTTCTTTCCCTAATTATTCTAAAGCTTCACCAGTCACTTTGTGATTGGTTAGTTCTCTGTGATCTCACTCACAGTCTTAATGTCTCTATGCTCAGAACTAAGTGTCTGTGTCCCAGCCCTTATCATAGCATACTTTTCTTTATTGCCAGGAACATCCACTGTCCCTGGTCCTGGGGTGTTTGATTAATTCCCTTTGGGAGTTGTTGTGCTTACCTCTGGAGCTTCCCTTACTCCTTTTGTTTCCCTTATCTCAAAAGCCTCTTTTACTCTCCCTAAGCCCTCACTGTCTCTGAAGCTGCCTACTTAACCCTAACCTGCCCTAGGACTCACTGTTATGTCAGACTTGTGCTTTGTGTTGAAAATAGTTGTTGCAGTTCATATAGTCTGGCAAAGTCCAGAATAAAAAAGGAGCGCTGTCCCCTATGTGGGTTTCTTCTTATCAGTGGCTTACATAACTCCAAAGGTCCCCAGCAGGATTCTCCCTAAGTTCCAGTGTATGGGTCCCTTGCACTTCCTAAATAGTTTACTGTTGGGGAAGGAACTACCCTCATGGTTTAGACTGCTCGTGATCCATACCCTTCCTGAGCACCCAGACCCTGGGTGGAAGAGGAAACCTCAAACAAAATCAGAGTACTTTGTATCAGAGAAAGGACTTGAATGGACCAACAACAGTATTTGCTATTATTTCCAATTTTGTTGTTTGCTTAGAAACTCTTCTTTCTTGCCCAAAGATTCTTGAAAACCAATATTGTATTTCTGTTATTTCAAGCGCATGACACTGTACAGTTGCAGGTACAGCCCGTGTTCATTGATTGCAGAGTTTATAATTCAGTACAAGCTCTTTCACCCATTGTTTTGTTTATGCTTATGCCCTGTTCCTGGCAGTTAAAGAAAGTAAAGAAATTGACTTATGTGCTTATTAGTGCTATCATGGTCAGAAAATAGTTTCTCTGAAATGCTTCATGACTCTAGAAGCATTTCAACAATATCTGTAATTGCTAAGTACACTTTCCAGGCACTATATCAAGCACTGAGGGTGCATCAATAGGACTTTCAGAGATGTTGCCACTGTCTGTCTTAGAGCTCAGCCTGCATTCCTTGGACTCTTGAAAGACCCAGAGGGGAAGGGACAGCAGTCCCAACTCTGACTCAAGTCTTTCAGCTTTCAGTGCAGTGCCATCTGATCTTTCCTGGCTTGTTTTCTTCTTCTTCTTTTTTTAATTTGATATATCCTCTCAGAAGCTGAGACTCGAAGTCTCCATTTCATCTGAAACAGTACAATTGTTACTGAGGAACCTAACTTTTCTGCTGTTTCATGCCAAGGACATGTTCTTATCTGAATAGTTCTTTGTTGTCTATATTCAGCAAATACTTGTTAAAGGAATGAAAGAATATCTTATCAATCAATTGATATTTCAAAGACAAAATTTTCTCTGATTTTCAAACCCTGACTATACTGTGTTTATTATGTTATTTGTTTATTCTCAGACAGCCAGCAAATATCCTCAACTGATATATTCACCATCATGTTTTAAGTAAAGAACAAAAAGTATTCTTTTTTTTAAGATTTATTTATGCATACAAGAGCTGGGGTACAGGCCAGAGATGTGGGGGGTGAAAGGATTCACTCGAGACTGAGTGGGAAACAGAACAGGCAGACTGACTGAAATACACTGCTGAGGGGAGCAGCGGGCGAGTCAGGAGAGGTCTGCTGCACCATGTGGGTTGCTCCCTGGCCGCCCGGGGATCAAACTCGTGCTGCAGAGGCTGTGGATTGCTTCATAGTGTGGTGCTTAACTTAACCCTTGCGCCACCAGGGAGGCCCAAGAACAAAAAGTATTCTTAAGAAGCAGTTACTAGTGGCATCTCTGTTAGAGTGTTTGAACCTAGTTTTTTATTTTTGTTTTAATTATAACTTTGAGAGAGGCTTGTTTGATAATACACTGAGTCAAATCTCCGTGATATTTTTATTTTTCAGAAAACTGTGGAATATATTTTCCAGAAATAAAAAGAGATCCAGGCAAATATGTACACAGGTGTCCCGAATCTGTAAAAAAGTGGCTTCGACAACTTAAGAATGCAGGGAAGATTCTTCTCCTAATTACCAGTTCTCACAGTGATTACTGTCGACTTCTCTGTGAATATATCCTTGGGTAAGTGATGAGTCATCTGTTTTTAAGGTTTTATAACGAACTGATAGTGACGATGACCATTTCATTAAGCAAAGCTGACAGTGACTGGTTAACACATATTCCAAGTGCATGTTAGTAAAGCAGTGTTACTGCGCATGCTCACAGCTCACTGATGCTCCGCTCCTTAGATTTCCTGAAAGGTGGATGGATTGCATGTCCATAGTCTTCCTTGAATTTGGTTCCTTAGCTTTGGATGATTATTGAGGGACACCAGTTGTACATTATACAACCTGACATGCTTGACTTACAGTCCCTCAGTAGCCATTTGAGTCATGTACATCACCATTTAGCACAGACACGAATGGGATTGACATCTGTAAAATTTAAAACACAATAAAATGCATAAATTTTAAAATAAGATGGACATGGGTTCAAGTCATGCCTTGCAGCTTACTGTTAGAGCAGTTTCTATGACTTCTGAACCTCGATTTCATCATCTTAAAGATGAGACGAGAATACCTCATGGATTCAAGGGAAACTTTAAGTAGCAGAATGCAGATTAGAGCAGAGTAGTTGGTTAAGTTTTATTAGTAGGCAGAGTACCTGGTTAAATTTCAGTAAGTATTAATACTCACTCCTGTGGGCAGTACAGGGGATATCCATGGTCAGAGCAAGATTCTTCCTTGGGTTATTAGAGCTCCCTTAAGGTTTCCTCAGATTTCAGCAAATGTTGTCTTGCCATGAGTATGAAGCAAATTGAGTATGAAGCAAATTGACCCTGGCCAACTTCTCTAACCTCCTTATTTCCATATTTGTCAGCACGTGAGGATTTAGCTTGTTTATGGCACACTTACGTCAACGAGTAGAGTTTCTGATTACACATGTCATTGGGATCTTTGAAGTCAGTTAATGCTTAAAGTCCTGGGTGTCTTGAAAGGGCCTCTCCAAAGGCATATGCTGGCCTGGTAGTGGGTCCATCCTTCAAGATAAACTGTCAAAAGTCTTACTTTCTTTGTCATTAACAAAGTTTTTCTTCCTATCTTAATTCCCATTTAGTGTTGTTTTGATTGTAAAAGTATTCAAGAATATTGGCTAAAAATTGCCACCCCAATGTAGTAACCAGTTCTTCTGGAACAAGGATTACCTTTCCTTTGCCATCCTAAATAATTCTTAATAAAGTATTAAATACAGACTAGAGAAACAAGTACTGTTGTTATCTGAGAAGTCCCACATTTTAACATTCCACCAATTTTCAAAATGAAGTGTTATCTTCATGTCTTTAACACGCTCTGAGAGACATGACCTGCCTTGATATACTACTAGCTTTCTGTAGGACCCATGTAACGCACAAAATTATTTAATAGCTAGTTTACTCAATCCAGACAAATTTCAAGCCCACATTTTTTTTTTTTATTTTTATTTTTTTTTTTTTTTATAAATTTTATTGTTATATTCCCCATACAATTGCAGCCCCCCCATTCTGACCCCAATCCCTCCCCTCCCGCCCCCCCCCCCTAAAAGTGTCTCTGTTTCATAGTTTTTTGTTGATTTTGATTTTCACTTTCTTATAGTTATTCATTTTCCTGGTCCCTTATTTAAGTTTTCTAGATTCCTGCTATGAGTGAGACCATCCGGTATTTTTCTTTTTCTTTTTGGCTTATTTCGCTGAGCATGATCCCTTCCAGCGCCATCCATGTTGCTGCAAATTGCATGTGTTTATCTTTTTTGAATGCTGAGTAATATTCCATGGTATATATGTACCACATCTTCTTGATCCAGTCATCTATTTTTGGGCATTTGGGTTGTTTCCAAAGCTTAGCTATTGTAAACAGTGCTGCTATAAACATAGGGGTGCAGGTGTTCTTTGGAATTGATGTTTCTGTGTCCTTTGGGTAAATACCTAGGAGTGGAATTGCTGGATCATATGGAAGCTCTATGTTTAGTAGGTCCAGAAATCTCCACACAGCTCTCCACAGTGGTTGGACCAGTTTGCACTCCCACCAACAGTGCAGAAGAGTTCCTTTTTCTCCACACCCTCGCCAGCATTTGTTGTTGCTAGTTTTTTTAATATGTGCCATTCTCACTGGTGTAAGATGGTATCTCATGGTAGTTTTGATTTGCATTTCCCTGATGGCAAGTGATGTTGAACATTTTTTCATATGCCTGTTGGCCATTTGCATTTCCTCTTCAGAGAAGTTTCTTTTTAGCTCTTCTGCCCATTTTTTGACTGGATTATTTTCTTTGTTGTTGCTGAGTCTCATCAGCTCTTTGCAGATTTTTGTGATCAGTCCTTTATCATTAGTGTTGGGTGCAAAAATGTTCTCCCAGTTGGTGGGGTTTCTCTTTGTTTTTGTTATTGTCTCTTTTGCTGTGCAGAAGCTCTTTAATTTGATGTAGTCCCAGCTGTTTATCTTTGCTTTCACTATCACTGCTTTGGGTGATGTGTCTGTAAAGATGTCTTTGATGTGCAGATCACGTAGTGTTTCGCCTATATTTCCTTCTATATATTTTATGGTTTCAGGTCTTATGTCTAGTTCTTTAATCCATTTTGAGTTGATTTTTGTGTATGGTGTGAGGTAGTGGTCAAGCTTCATTCTTTTGCATGTAGCGACCCAGTTTTCCCAGCACCATTTATTGAACAAACTTTCTTTGCTCCAATGCATAGTCTTTGCTCCTTTGTCAAAGATTAGTTGACCATAAATCTGTGGATTTATTTCTGGATTTTCTATTCGATTCCATTGGTCTGTATGTCTGTTCTTGTTCCAATACCATGCAGTTTTGATGATTATGGCTTTGTAGTATAGTTTGAAGTCTGGGAGTGTAATGCCTCCATTCCCTTCTTTTTTTTTTAGGAGAGCTTTGGCTATTCGGGGTTTTTTGTGATTCCATATGAATTTCATCAATAATTGTTCTATTTCTTTGAAGAATGACATTGAAATTTTGATTGGAATAGCATTGAATCTGTATATTGCTTTTGGAAGGATGGCCATTTTAATAATGTTTATTCTTCCAATCCACGAGCAGGGGATGTCTCTCCATTTCTTTGTGTCTTCTTCTATTTCTTTTAACAGTGTTTTATAGTTTTCTTTGTATAGGTCCTTTATCTCTTTTGTTAGATTTATTCCCAAATATTTGATTTTTTTTGTTTCAATAACAAAAGGGATGGTTTTTTTTATTTCTTCTTCTTCAGATTTATTGTTTGTGTATAGGAAGGCTACTGACTTTTGCATGTTGATTTTGTATCCTGCCACTTTACTGAACTGATTGATGAGTTGAATTAGCTTTTCTGTGGAGTTTTTGGTGTTCTCTATGTATAATATCATATCGTCTGCAAATAGTGATAGTTTGACTTCTTCTTTTCCTATTTGGATTCCTTGGATGTCAAGCCCACATTTGAATAAATAGTAAATGAATATTGCCAGCTGTTAGAAACTGTTGAATTCTCTCACTGTAACTATCACCCCCATGCGAAAGCCAGCTTACCCCTGATAATTAGTGAGCTGATGTGCTTTTCTCTTACTTTTATACTTTAAGGTTTTGTTTAGAAAATTTATACTCATCCTCCTTTCTTTCCAGTGCAAGAATCAATTTAAAAGATACAGAAAACATGTCAAAAAATAAGAAATGATGACTAACTAGATAGGATAAGATTAAGTTCTGTTCCATGTGGACCTTTGCTAATACTTTAAAAAATATACTTATGAAAAATCATATTGTTTTTTCAGGAATGATTTTCCAGATCTTTTCGATGTCATTATTACAAATGCATTGAAGCCTGGTTTCTTCTCTCATTTACCAAGTCAAAGGCCTTTCTGGACACTTGGTAAGTTACATTTTTTGTTTCTTCTCCTGTTTAAGGTGTCTTCATTTATTCCTCAAAAAATGTCCGCTGGCTAGCAGTCATGTGCAGGTACTGTGTTAGAGACAACAAGAGATAAAAGGAGACACCATGGGGAAGAAAGAGGTAGTTAACCGCATGATATCATAGTTGTTTATTTGCATGTTAGTCTCTCCCTGGCTTTAAAAATGAATGGCATGGACTTTACCTTGGTTTTTTGGGCCTAAATAAACACGTCAATAAATATATGAGACATGAATTAATTATAATAAGTTAGAGTGGATTATTTTCTAAAACAAAAGTGCCTGCAGAATGCATGAGCATCACAAAAAATGAAGCAATCCTCTCTGGGGTACAGGCTAGACCGTCATGAGAAGGTGATTAACATTGTCACCCTTGTAATAGAGGCTAATGAAGAGGTGGGCTATAAAAAGGGAACAGATTTTTCAGGTGAAGAATGAGAAGAGCAGAGTGAGGCAGTCCTTCTAGATGTTCTTTGAAAGTTTGTTGAATAAATATATAAATGAATAAAAGCAGAATATGATAAGGAATATCAGATTTGGGAGTATAAAAGGTGTGGGAATGTGAAAGATAACAGTTAATTTAGTGGTCTGTTTTCTATTTTATTTCTATCTAAGTGGATGCCAGATAAGTTATGTGATAAATTAACATTTGAGGACCATTCAGAAATTCTTTTAAAAGATGATCATCTAAAACTCAGAAAATGTTGGAAGTAAAACATACTGACTGGTCATACATTTATATAAATATTTATAAGGCTGTTAACAAATAAAATTTATATACCTAGAGATCAATCTGTGTTTAAAAGAATGATTAAAAAAAAGAACATTTTATATCTGTATTATATGCATAATACATATAATAAGCATCTGTAACAGATGCTTTATGATTTAATTTACTTTTGCTTCAAAATCTTGTCACTATATGAACAGCCTGGGCCAGGTTAGAATAATATTTAGCATATACATTTCTCCTTACTTTCCCATGGCCACATAGAAAATTAAATTTAAAATCTCTCAAAAGAATATTCAAGTGGGGCCTCTCTGGTGGTGCAGGAGTTAAAAATCTCAGCACTGTCAAGCCATCGCCAGTCACTGCAGCATGAGTTTGATTCCTGGCTATCCCACATGGCGCAGCAGACCTCTCCTGTCTCTGGTGAATTCTCTCATCCCCCTGCATCTCTGGCCTACACCACAGTTCTAATATGCGTAAATAAATAAAATAAATCTTTAAAAAAAAAAAAAAAGAGGGCCTCCGCTGGTGGCGCAGGTGGTTGAGCACAGCACTGTGAGACTGTCCGCGGTCTCTGCAGCATGGGTTCGATTCCGGCCCGCCGGCAAGATACCAACATGGTGCGGCAGACCTCTCCTGTCTCGCCTGCTGCTCCCCTCAGCAGTGTGTTTCGGTCCATCTGCCTGTTCTGTTCCCCACTCTGTCTCTGGTGAGTCCTCTCACCCTCCAGCACATCTGACCTGTATTCTGGTTCTTGTATGCAAGAAAAAATAAATCTTTAAAAAAAAAAAAATGTTCCAGTGAATCACACATTCAGTAACTTTTTAAAAATAAGTCAAATGTCATATTATTAACTTCAGACTTCTACTTTATATTTTCCAAAAGCCTGATTCACTGTGAGGCAGTTAACAGTAGCTTAGTGCTTAATGCAGAGCTCACAAATAGTGAAATCCAAGTTAGGCTCAGGGTAATAAATGTCAGACAAGTGCATAAACACTTGCCAACATTTTCTGACAAAGGCATGAGCAAGCCAGTAAATGCAAGGAGTGATTATAGGTGGAGTTAAGCGTCCTAAAGGAAGTAATTGCCAAACGAGACCACCCTCACATGGCTGACCAGGGAAGAACTCATGCAAAGATCAGGTAAGGCTACTTTCCAGACAGGACCTGAAGGATGAGTGATGAGAAGATCAGAAGAAAGAAGCGTTTTCCTCTCACTGAGACACACAAATGCAAAGCCCAGTATGGGAGTGGTTTTGGTGATTTGTAGCGAGACCTGTTTCTGGCACACGATTGGGGGGCAAGAAAAGGTGAAGTTAGGGAGTTACCACATGAACAATCTGAAGCCGTTCAGTTGAGGTAATGTGATACAGCAACCTCTTTGACTACAGCCTGGGAAATGGACTGGATGTGAGGAGGCATAGAGAGGGAAGAGAAGACCAGGCAATTGCATATCCCAAGTGAGAGATTATGGATATTTGGTCTGAGGAGGAATTATTAGAGATGAATATATATTTAAGATACACTGTGGAGATGGAAAGCACAACTTAGACATGCTTTAGAAGTAGCAGATGAAAATAAAGAAGGAATAAAAATGTCTTCCATGTTGTTGAGTTTTCTTTTTTCTGAATTTGTCAGATGGGTAGATGGTGGTACCATTTGTAGCCATGAGGAAGAATATAGAGGGAGAGAAAAGCTTGTGTGGGGTGTGTATTTGTTCTCCTAAAAAGAGCCCCTCCAACTGCATAAGCTTCTAGCACTAAAAATGTGAATCTACCTCTACTTACAACGTATTGCTAAATCACATTGGTATTCTTCTTAGATGTGAAAAAGAGAGGACCCCTGCTGTCTCCCCCCCAAAAAATGACTGTTTTGTTAAAATCTAAAATCGTGAAAGTAATATTGAAACACAAGTGGAGAGGTCCCCCCAGGCAGTTTCCAAAGCTGGCCTAAACAGCTGTTGCCTCTATTGGTATATCACCTTTTTCACAAAACCTTATTTAATCATCTTGCTGGTGGCCTGTCTATAAGGCATGTAACAGCTAAGAAGACTCAGGGTACAGAAACATATTACCTCTTCACACCCTGCTTTAACAGGGATGGGCAAGCAGGGCGCCTTGAGAGGGCAGCTTGAAATAGTCCACAAGTGTGGGCTTTGGCACCAGATACCCCCCAGAGCAGGGATAGAATAAAGCAATTATAACACATAAGGTACAAAATTTATTAGAGGGGGAGAGGTGCTTACTCTCAGAGTGATGAAAACTGCCACAGTATCTGTGGGCCTTAAGCACGCTATGAAAACCTCTGTGAATTTCAGTTCCCTCATCAGTTTGGAAACTGACCAGGGCAGGAAAATGATGGTAGAATTAGAAGAATACAACAGTAATAATCAGTAGCAGCAAATGTAGCTATGGGACACAAAGTAGATTGTGAGGATTATATAGAGTAAAACAAATAAAACTTAATGCTACAGAGTCTGGATTTAATAAACTACTGATAAAAACCTATCTCCCCAGATGCCAGTTTCAAAAGGAAGTAGGACCTAGTGGCTTCCATTATATTGTTTAGTAAGCCATTTTGCCAAGCAGGGACATGATGCCAAGTAGACACCTATCCAATCACTGAATAAATCACTTGCCAGCATTGATGCCTTGAGTAAAATAACTTCCTTAAGCCATATTTTCCCCAATTAAAAAGGTTGTTGTAAATATTAAATTATATAGACCTCCCCCATTATCAATACCCCCCACCAGAATAGTGCACTTGCTACAATTGATGAAACTACATGGACACATCTAATTACTGATCACAGGAGCCCTTCTGAGAGTGAGGGCATTTGGGAAGATGTGTATCTGCCTCTCATTTTTGCTGTGAACCTGAAACTGTTCTAAAAAAAAAATTGTTTAAAAAAATTTAAATGTAATTTTTGTATGCATGTGTATATAAATTTTGAAATCTATGAAGTTCTTGTAATATGTAAGTGCTCACTGAATGCTAGATTTTGTCTCCAGATAGGTATTTCTTGTGTATGTCCTGAAGCTATGCCCAAATGTACCTAGTCAGTGTACATTAAGCTAAAAAGTATATGATTGTCAAACTGTATTTTCAGAGAATGATGAGGAGCAGGAGGCATTGCCATCTCTAGATAAACCTGGCTGGTACTCCCAAGGGAATGCTGTTCACCTTTATGAACTTCTGAAGAAAATGACTGGCAAAGCTGAACCCAAGGTATTTTCTGATTGAGGCAAAGTCCTTGTTGTCCATCTGAAGACAAAATCCATTATAAACTAAAACCATAATTATGAATGCATCCATCTTGTCATCTGTTGGAGAAACTATCCACCTCTTCCTACCTGCCAATCTTCTCTCCTGCCTCTTCTGAATAAATAAGCCTTTCTTTTATTGGTGTAGGTTGGGTCTTTATTAACAGAGAAGAGCAAAAATTCTAAGTATAGGCCACAGAGCTAGGGGATATACTAGATTAGTAAGTAAGGAATGATATCCTTATAATAGTACATCAAAGTTTTTTATGTAAAACAAGCAATGACTGAAATTAGAGTGTTCTAAAGACACACTTGTCTTTGACATCCTGATCACATCACTGGTGTTAGATGTTGGTGCATTTTTAACAGTAGAACTCTTCTAAAAAATGTTCGCCAGGAACCCAGTGAGCAAGAGAGATCTGTAAGTCATTGAGCCCCACTCCACTGCCGCCCACATTGCCATAACTTCCTGGACCACTTGACTTGGAGGGTCTAATTCACACCTTGTTTTCTCATCGGTATATTCAGAGATGTGGACTAGATTAATGGGGCTTTTCCTCTGAGTACCTGTGAGGCTTCCCAGAGTCCACTTCCCAAACTCCAGTCTCAGAGATTGTGTTTCAGTAAGTCTGTGTGGGGCCCAGAAACGCTCTGGAAACGTCGTTGTGATGAGCACTCCTTGTTATTCTAGCCCATTTTCACAAGTCATCTCTAATATCGCACCAACTCTTTAACTTTAGGGGCAGGTTTAACTAAAAAATATCGACTCTTTGTTTTTTTTTTTCAGAAAAATGATAGACTCACTTAGCTTTTACCTGTCTTCGACCTGCAAATGAACTATGTAATTTCTTAAACCTGGTGCCCTACAAGGCCAGTGGGCCAACTCGATGGTCACCTGTGAAGTTATTCAGGGACATTTAAGATGTTTATACAGCTCTGATTTTGCTCTGATATCTTTTGAGGAATTTTCTTCTGCCTTCCATGAAATGAACACCACTCTCTCACAATTCCTATGCCCCAATTTACTAATTTACAGGTGGCTTACTTTGGTGACAGCATGCATTCAGATATTTTTCCAGCCCGTCATTATAGAAACTGGGAGACGGTCCTCATCTTGGAAGAGCTCAGAGAGGACAGGGATGGGACAGCTGAGGAATCCGAGCCACTAGAGAAAAAAGGAAAATATGAGGTAAGGGTACCCTTCCTTCAGCTCTTTCTTTGAAGGAAAAATAGGTGTGTTTGGTGCTTGTTTGCACCGAGAGTGATGAAATCTGTTGGCACATAATCTACAGGTTCAACTCTTCATCTCAGCTCTACAGTTGATTCACCATGTCTTTGTCTCCCCTGTCCTCTGCTTTCATCCAGTGCAGTAGTATCAGGGATTTTTGGGGGCTGATACTGAGTTGGCCAGATCTGACTCAGTACAGTCACACTCTACCTTTCATGCTCAGATAAGAAAGCCCTGTGCTCACTCTCCATGGGTCTGACTTAATTAAATTGGTAACACCTGAGTAGTCCAGCATGCACTTAGGAGAAGTCTTGAGGGAAAGAAAAATAAAATATATCATAAATCTGGAAAGGGGAAATTTAACATATAAAAACAAAACGAAGAAGAAAAGATGAAAGATCAGAAAATAACCTCTTTCGGGCCTCCCTGGTGGCGCAGGCAGTTGAGCGCAGCGCTGTGAAGCTGTCCACAGCCTTCAGTGCCCCACTGGCCTCAGAGCAATCCACATGGCGAGCAGACCTCTCCTGTCTCACCTGCTGCTCCCCTCAGCAGTGTATTTCGTCAGTCTGCCTGTTCTGTTCCCGGCTCGGTCTCTGGTGAATCCTCTCACCCTCCCGTGCATCTGGCCTGTACCCCAGTTCTTGTTTAAATAAAATAAATCTTTAAAAAAAAAAAAAAAGAACCTCTTTCTAAATTCATTCCAGTGGAACAATCTATAAAGAAGGAAAAACTCACATCAAATATAACAATAAAAAGAAATGCCCATACTTAATGGAGACATATATACTTTAACTATATACAAAACTATACAAAGGATACTTATTATTTATATGTATAATAAGAGCTGGTAAGTTCTTTAGTATGGAAAAAACTTACTATGAGATTGAACATTAATCACATTTTTCATTGTTCTATTCTCGTTTCAGGAGCCAAAGTCAAAACCTCTAAATACATTATCTAAAAAATGGGGCTCTTTTTTTGTTGATTCCATTTCGGGACTGGAAAATACAGAAGACTCCTTGGTTTATACATGGTCTTGCAAGAGAATCAGTACTTACAGCACTATTGCAATTCCAAGTATTGAAGCAATAGCAGGTAAGGTGGAATGTCCTTACAGTGATTTACCTCTTACTTGACATCAGTGACCTTAAGTGCTAGAATTCTTGCTTTTAAAAGAAGAAAAGTGCTGGGCCTCCCCTAGTGGCGCAGCGGTTGAGCGCTGGGCTGTGAAGCTGCCTGCAGCCACTGCGAGGGTCCCACATGGTGCGCAGACCTCTCCTGCCGCCTGCTGCTCCCCTCAGCAGTGTTTTCAGTCCTTCTGCCTGTTCTGCTCCCCACCCTGGCTCTGGTGAATTCTCTCACCCTCCCGCACTTCTGACTGTAACCAGTGCTTGTATAAATAAATAAATAAATCTTTTTTTAAAAAAAAAAATGAAAAGTGCTCTATGACATTCATTCTGTGACATTCTTGGGAAACAGCTAGATATGTAGAGTGTAGGTGATTACAACCTACCCATCTGTTTGGAGTCATAGGCTAGGGTAGAGAAAAATTACCAGGATGAGATGTTAAGGATGGCCGGTAAGGTGAACCTGACTTTGGGGGCTGCTGGTCCCCCTGAGTGCTGATTTGGGACAGGGCATCAAAGAAAGTGAATAGACCTTTTATTAACTTTATGAACCTATAGGAGTAAGGATGAATTGGAAGTAGGAATTTATAGGGACTGAAACTCAGGTTTAAATCAGCTTAATCCCTAAAATTGGGCTGAGAATATTTTAGATTGGTAGTACCTCAAAGCACCTGGTAGACACAAATGAATATTCTTTTATGCAGAAGATAATATCCTCCTAGAACTTAAATTATTTCTAAAAACAATTAATAAAAGGTTCAGCACATAATGAAAAATAGCCAGACACACAAGGACTGCACAAGGAAAAATAACTAGGTTTACTGTGTTCAAGTACAAAAAGAAAGGAATGAAAATTTGGTGGAGACAAAAACTATTAAAAGAATGAAATTCAAAAATTAAAATATTTTAAAATCAAAATTAAGAACTTTAAAGGATGGTTTTTTTAAAGCAGATTAAATACAGCAGAAAAGTGAATTAATGTAGGGGCCTCCCCGGTGGTGCAGTGGTTGAGCGCTGGGTTGCGAAGCTGTCAGCAGCCTCTGCAGCGCCGGTTCGATCCCCGGGGATCCCCAGCTGCTCCCCGGCGTACTTTGCTCTTTCTGCCTGCTCTGCTCCCTGCTCTGGCTCTGGTGAGTTCTCTCACCCTCCCGCGCTTCTGACTGTAGCCAGTGCTTGTTTAAATAAATCTTTTAAATAAAGTATGTTTAAAAAAAAAGTGAATTAATGTACTGGAAAATAGGTTAAAATATCCAGAATGAAGCAGTTAGAGAAAGAAAAGGCGTGGGAGATACAGAAAAGGGACTAAGGGATATAGATGATACAATGAAAAGGAATATGATTTCTGTAATAGGAATCCCAGGATATGAAAGAATAAACCAAAACCAATAGCTGCAGGCTTTCTAAAAATGTTGAAAGAAAATGAGCCAAAGATTTAAGAAGCCCAAAGAACTGAAACAAAATAAACTTTAAAAATCCAAAGTTAATTGCTAAAAAAACAAAGATAATTAAATATTCAAGGAGCCAGAGATTAAAAACTATTATTTCAAAGGAGTAAGAGTTAGACCAATAGCAAACTTCCCACAGAAACAAAGAAAGCCAAAAGATAGAAAGCTATCTTGAAATTGCTGAAAGAAAATGGCTTTCTCAGTCTTGATGGAATTCTATACCCAGTAGACACATCACTAAAAAATAAAAGAAAAATATTTTTAGACAAAAGTAGGGGAAATGTAGCTCCAGAAGACTTGCACTAAATAAAATAATAAAAGACATTAAGTAGTCAAACAAAGCTAAACAAGTATGGGGCTTTTTGAAGGAAAAGGAAAGTTAGATGTTATATTCAATTGTTAACTGCCTCAGAAAGCAAAGCATCAGTCACTAACTAAGTTAGCTCTCATTGTTTCTCATAAAGAAGTTATATCTCAAGTTCCAAGAGGTTTGTTTTTTGTTTGTTTTTTAAAGGTTTATGTATTTATGCATACAAGAACTGGGGTACAGGTCAGAGGTGTGGGGTGAGAGGATTCATCAGAGACAGAGTAGGGAGCAGAACAGGCAGGTAGACTGAAGTACACTGCTGAGGGAAGCAGCGGGCGAGACAGGAGAGGTCTGCTGCACCATGTGGGTAGCTCCCTGGCCTGGGATCGAACTCATGCTGCAGAGGCTGTAGATACTTTATAGGTTGTGTCTTAACCCCTTGCGCCACCAGGGAGGCCCTCAAGAGGTTTTTGTTTCTATGTCTCTATTGTTTTACATTAATTGCTATACGATATGGTTGATATTGTAGTATATTCAGTAGAGTTTAATAGGGATTTGCTGTGATAAACAAAAATCTTTCTTATCTACTTTTCTCTTTTCTTGCAAATAGCACCTAACACTGACTTTCCTATAGCAGGAATGCTAATATTTTCCCTCTTGCTGAATCCCCAATCTCAGAAATCCCCAGTCTGGAGATCTTGTGAGAATAGATCAGTCATTTGATTTGAGTTGGACTGTTCCATACCCAGATTTTTTAAAAGTAATAGACCTTTCCTGCTACCTAGGAGAGAACAAAATTTTTGTTTTAAATGAGATAAGAGGTGAAAAACAAACCCTATAACTCCTACCTCTTAAATCTTTTGTATTGATGTAGTGTTTCTTTATTCATGGGTAGCCTTTGTTAAACTTGGTTACCTCACTGACATTTAAATGTATAAATGTTGTAAAAGTTTCCACTTATTGCTAAATATGTTAAAATGATGGTTGACTTATAAGCATTTGGTAACGTATTTTTTTAACATAATAATAGCTGTACAGAGACCTATACATGTACTTGAGGATAAATGTGTGCAGAAAACACTGAAAGAGGTGGCCAGTTGGCTTAACTCTGAGCATGTATCATTTTTGGTGGCTTATCAGAAATCCAGAACCTTAGCTGTGTAATTCTAGAAATTTAGTCTTTATCAATTTCCTTCTCAATACATGACTCAAAATACATTTTAAGCAGTAAAGAACTTTGAAATTCATTAATACTGAGTATTTTTCGTTTTGATTATTTTTCTGAGTATTTTTCTTAGCTTTCTCTGGCATTGAAAGGCAGTGTTACTTCTTCCCAATCTCCAGCACTAGTTTTCTCCTAAAAAGGATTAACTACTTGGGCCTTGATGATTCTCAGTAGCATTTAATATAAAATATAATTTTAATGCTTGTGTCATTTTTAAAATATCTGGATTACTGCCCACTGAGTACATGTGGAATGAGTATCGTGACATGGATCATAATGTGTCATAAGTAGTAATTCTGGTAATGTTTCCTTGAAGAAATATGGAAACTGCCTGAAGACTAGCTTTTGAGAAACTTATATGAAGATGTCACAATGTCCCACCATTAATAAAGTATGCATTTTATGTTTTCTCTCTTGATTGCCCTTTTTGGCTGTGTGTGTGTTTATCATGTGAAGGACGTTATCAGAGTGTACATATTAGAATCTTTGTTTAGCTAAGCATTTGTAATTCTCATTTGTAAAGGATATTAGTTCTCACCATTTATAGAGAAAGACCATGTACATCTACAGTCTTCATCCGAGGTGCAGCCTATCCAGGTGACCAGAAAAAAATAAAATGTGATGGGCCTCCCCAGTGGCGCAGTGGTTGAGCGCTGGGTTGTGAAGCTGCCCACAGCTTCTGCAACGCCAGTTCGATCCCCGGCCACCGGGCAAGGGTCCTACATGGCGCGCAGACCTCTCCTGCTGCCCGCTGCTCCCTTCAGCAGTGTACTTTGTCAGTCTGCCTGCTCTGCTCTGCTCTGCCTCTGGTGAATTCTCTTGCCCTCCTGCACTTCTGACTGTACCCAGTGCTTGTATAAATAAATAAAATAAAATCTTTAAAAAAAAAAGTCTGAAAATTATTCCACATTTAAAAAAAATAAAATGTGAAATTCTAAAAAATAAATTTATTGCTCACTATCAAATTTTGATTTGTTTACATTTATGAAAAAACTTTGAAATCAAAGTGTTGTTTATTTGTTTGTTTTCCAGAATTATCCCTGGACTACAAATTTACAAGGTTCTCTTCAAACAATTCAAAAATCGCTGGCTACTATCCAAACCCTCCATTGGTCTTATCAAGTGAGATACCAAAAACCAAATAAATGATCTTTACTAAAAAGTAAAAAGAAGAAACATATATGCAGCAAATGTACTGTAAAGATTTTAATTTTCCAAAAATACTGTAAGATGCTTTATAGGAACAAATTCTTAATGAAAATTGACTAAGAAAATGATCTTTTTCTATATCTCTTCTTTCTATGTAGTTCATCTTGGTGCCCCAGACTCTCATTGTATTAAAATCTTGGTATCTTAGAACTGAAAAGAACCTTATTAATATTTTCTATACCAATAGCTTTGAGATTAGAATTCACTTGAGGAGTTACATACTCACACATACGTACATATATACTTATATAAATATGCATACATACATAAATATGCTTAGCCTATGGTTCTCAAATTGTGGTCCCTATACTACTAATATGGTGTCACCTACGATCTTGATAGAAATACAAATTTGGAAGGGTAACCCCAGAAATATAGATTCTGAAACTTTGGGAATGAAGCTACAGTGCACAATCTATTAATAATCCTGTGGTTGACACACAAGTTTGAGAGCCACTGCCTAGACCATATCCTCCAGAGACTGGTTTCATTAGTATGGGAATACAGTTGAGCATTGATATTTTCACATGCCCCAGGAAAATGCAGCCAGAACTGAGAATACCTGCTGTACACCGTTCCTTTAACTCATAGCCAAACACACTGAGTCCAGTGAGATCAAGTGATTTTTCCAGGTTATCGGGTTTTATGCTACCCCTGTACCCCAGTATTTTTAAAAACAAGAAAATAAAAAATGATTTCTTCTGAGACCACAGAGCCAGTCTGAGACAGATGATACAAGAAGCCAACTGTTTCAGTCTCCACTGTTAACCAATTAGGAATTTCCCCCATAATAATTTTGAAAGTTGTTTCTTTCTCATTCACTTTAAGATGTGTATTCTCAACGGGTTAAAAATTGGTTCTAGGGGTAAAAAAAAAAAAAATAATGGAATGAGTGGTTGCCCTTCAAGCTTAACTCTGCAGAAAAATGTTTTTCCTTATTAATTTCTCATTAAAGAAAAATATATTTTACATGTATTAATTAGAGTTCCATTTAATTTTTCCCTTTGTGAGGGGAGGTGACAGTGGGGAAAACTACTTTAAGAAGTTTTGTAATGCTGCAATCCAAGATTATTGTGTTCTGTGTGCTATGTATAGTCATATTAGTAGCTATTTGTTGCAAACTGGAGCCAGATAATGTTTACAATATAAATTCCTGGCTTCTCTTTATGCTGTAATCTCACTCTGCCCCTCCTGGACAATATCAGAAAATACACTTGTCATTGTTTCTTTTATTTGGATTAAATCAGATTAGCATATTGATTCATGAAATGAAAACATATTTTAAGATTTTTCAAATCTCAAATAATCCCAGATATTGTGGGGATGAGTATCTCAGGATAGGTAAACAGTTACTGAAATTTCTTCCTTAAAGTCAGTTGCTTTATGATATTTTCTAAAAGCAGTATGATGATGTATTTGAAGTTAACTTCTGAAGTCTCATTAGAATATGATAACAAGCATACATATCAAGCTTGGGGCCAAATGAAAGATGTTAAGTAACTCGTGTACTTTCAATAGACCTTGGTTTCTTTTTAAAATAAAACTATTTTTCCTTTTGTGTGTTTATTTTGTCAGTGGTAAAGAATATCTCTTTAAATTCTTATAAACTGCTAATGTTAATATGAAAAGTAAGAATCCCAAAATAAGAAAACTGTACTTTTTGGCCACTAAGAAATGAAAAAAATTCATTCTGGTTAGATCTGCTTTTACCAGTACCTACCCTAAGGAAGCTGAACAGATTACCAGCTTATTTGACCTCAATTTTTTTCCATCTTATAAAAAGAGAAAGTTTATTTCCAAGTTTGCTTCCCCCTTTCTAGCAGAGTCAGTCAGTACTTTTAATAAATGTCATTTATCTATTACACTATAGACTTGTTAGATTTTTATTTCATTGTGTCTAAAAAGTGCCAGTGTTTCTAATTGAATTTCAAGAGTAAAAATAATCATTAAAAAATGGCACTATAGAAATTAAAAAGCTATTAGACAAGGTATATATTCTTTGTTACATGAAATAAGCAGAAAAACTGTATAAATGGACAGAAGACTTAGGTTTAATGTTAGCTTGAAGGTAAACATTCATCATCTAAGCTTCAATCTAAAAATAAATGCAAAGGAGTTGAGATTGTCTTTGCTTATCACTGTTGATCTCATCAGCAGAGAAAAGCTCTAAATGGCATATGGTCAAATGGTTTGTCAGCATTTGGTATTTGGAATACTGAGTTAGCGGAAACTTCAGTTGCACCACAAATTGCAATTTAAAATCAGCTATTTCTGCATTTGGAAAGCCAAATTAAAATCAAGTGTTTCCCTACCAACATTTACATCATATCCAACATATGTACACATATAAACTGTATGTATACACTTTTAGTGTATATACATATTTGTATATTTTGAGACTTTACTCACCCAGTGTGATCTAATTTGCTGCCCATGAAAATCCTAGAGTATGGTTCAGTCCACATAGTGTGAACTCAAAAAGGTATCTCTTATAGATCTCTGGAACCATCTTCAGAAATGATCATTTTAAAAAATGGTAATGAGTGCTGCCTCCTCTCCAGACTCCTTTATAAGGCGTATATAATTATGAAGAGATTGAAATTCAGAGGTTAAATAATATGCTTGCTCAAAATTGCACTATTACTACAGAACAGAGGCTGTACATGATCCCAAGTTAACTCCCAAAATATGCTTAGTTGATTAACACCTAACATCTTCCAATATTAGACCCAGAATGTGCAAATTCTCAATTTAAAACCACACTTCAGCTACTTTACAGCATGCAAGGACATGTGAGAGGTTAAAAATGGAGACATAGGTTCTGCCCTAAAGCAATTTATAATCTAGTAAAATATATTAAAATATAAGATAGTACTTACCTAGAAGACTAACAAAACCAAGAATCATGTAAGTCCTAAAATGTAAAGTGGTCTGTTTCTCTTGGAAGCCACATATGCTAAAGTCATTAATAAGCACATCTACTGTTTCTTCAAATTCTGGTTCACTTTGAATACTTCACAAATTTCCCTTTCAGGTGCTGAGGAAGCCAAAATGAAGGAGAGATGAAACTGGTCCAAGTAACCTTAGAAAGAGATGAGCTATCTGGGCCTATGGAGAAGTTGGGTCATTATAATGACAGCCACACCAGCACATAGACTGCTTGACAATCAGGTTCTTATACCATATACTTGTTCTCTTTAAAATAAATAGGTAAAAAGGCATTGGCCTTGGTATACTTCCCTGGTAAAGATCAAAACTTTTAAAAGTTTGACAAAGCTTAATAAAGAAGGAATATATTAAGTACCTGTTAAAACAATCACCAGGCTGAAATTTAAAAATACTAATTTTTAATAATTAATGACATAGATTCCTGTATTTAACGAATGAAAGTACCCATTTCAGACCATTCATGAATAGACTTAAGAATAACCATGAACTGAAGCCTAAATACTCAAATATAGCCTTTGTCTTGTTTTCATGCCAAATTTAACACAGATGGCTGTGATACAGTTGAATCAGAAAATATAAATCTGTATGCCTTGCAGCTTAGGCAATGGTAAAACTTGTCAGGATTATGATGGTAACATGATAAACATGGAAGTGCCTGATATGTCTGATAACCTTGAGATTTCCCTGCCATGGAGTGTGTCAGACATGCAAAGCTCAAATTTTCTGCCCCACCCCGCTCCTCCGTGGGGCAGACAACTTTGTTTTTAATGATGAAAATGGATTGAAGGCAACTTGTCAGCTGGAGAGAAACTAGAAACGGGCAGCAGAGTAAATGGAAAAAAAGGAAGCCTGAATAAAGATAAGAGAAATCTTTTTGCCTGTCTTGCTTCAAATGAAAGTCCAGAAATAGAAAAGAATAACCCAAAGGAGATTTGGTTATATAGGAGCCAGGGAAATATTAAGTATATCACTACTACTCACAGGACAATATGGCCTGATCAGGCAAAAATGGTAATACTTTTTTAGTGAACTCTAATGTGGAGGCCAGCTAACAGAAAAATTTGGATTTAGAATTGAAAAAAAATAAAACAGCAGTGCAGAGAAATGGAGCAGGGCTATAGGAGAGAACCAATTGGTGAAAACTAGAGAATACCTAATTGGAGTCTAAGTATTAGACTTAACAGAACAGGGGCCATGTTAATCTGCAACAAATGACTGGCACCAGCTATGAGTATATTGCTTGGACTAAAGCTGATAATAAACTGAGGGCAACAAAAAAGACATTTTCTGATTGTGTCTACAACAGAGTAAGTAATAATGCTTGAAAAGGTGGCTGACAATATAGACATCAACCACTGAATTGAAAAGGTGAATGACATAAGAATTTAGGACTAAGATGGCCATAGAGCTCACAAAAGAAAGCTGCAAGCCTTCTAGGCCTAGAAAAATTATACTTCAGCAAATAGAACTTGCAGAGTAAGAATTGCACCAAGAGTCTTCATATGCTAACTCAAATCAGTACTTTTATGCCATTCATGTCAACTTTTTATTTTAATGGCTAAAAATACGTGATCATTTATTTTCACAGATCTTGCAGCCCACGGTAATTCTACTAGAGAATGGACAAATCTTTATTTCCCAAACCTTGTAATGACAATAGCTCCTGAACAACAAAACTAATGCTACTGGTAATTGAAGTTGTGATGTCTGACATTTGTTTCGAGATATTGTATTAGTCATAATTTTATTCTAAGTACTGCAATATTATAAGAAAATAATTTAAGTAGCATTTATAAAATATATGACTAGTTCTTCCAAAAGGCCATCTTAAGTTGTTTTTAAGGAAAAAAATGAGACATAACATAAATGTAATAAACAAGAAGGGTGTTTGGAGAAGAGTTTTCCACACACTGAAAAGAGAATATTAAGTAACAAAAATCAACCTTTGGTGCTTCGATTACCACCAAAACCTGACTGGTTGTATAGGGAAAACTAGGTTAAAGAGTATGCAGTTGCATTTGGGCTTCTTATTAACATTTGCCAAACAAAAAATCTTGGAAGGTTTAGTGACTGTAGCCTTTTTATTTTGTTTAAATCCTCAAGGACTTACTGTGACCATTAAGGTAACTTTAATTAGCCTAAACAACACAGAGAAAACTTTATTTATTCATTTATTTATGCATTTATTTTGGTGAAAACAAACAGCAGAGTGACAAATTTTATTTTTCCTTCAAGCACATAGGAGAAGACAAAAGTTCTAATGATCTTGTTTAAGTTTGACAGAGCAATTCGACAAGTACTTACACTGGTTAGGAACATTTCAAGTACAACATTACCACTAGGACAAGGAATATCAAGAAAGACAACAGGTTTTTCTTTGTGAGATTACTTCCACAAGACACAGCAACAATTTGCAAAATTTCAGACTCTTTAAAGATCACATTATTGAAATTGTTTCTAAGACTAGAGCTATATATGAAGAGACCAGAACAAGCTGATAGATTAATAGTCACAGAAGGCTTCATACTACACAAGAAACAAGTTTGATATTTTGCACATATTCTCAATTACAAGCAAAAAGCAGGCCTGTAAATGTCAGTTTTGCTAGCAAGCAAAAATGAAGGAATAGGATTTTACTCAAGCACAGTGAAATAAAGAGCAAATACCATTTATCTTGTACATATAAAAGGTCACTCCTAGAATAACCTAGAGAGAGAAAACATCCAGATTTGCATTATTGGGTACAAAGATCTATTGGCAAATTGAAGGAGTTAGGAAAAACAGGAAATCCCTTCTCCAACGATCCTCTTTAAACATCAACCACTTGATTCTCCACCATTCCTACAGAAAGCCTCAGAGGTCTTCCCTTTGAACCTGCAGGGTTCCACACCTTCCTGTCTGCCTTTCCAAGCCCACTCCTCAGGCTCATTTCTGTTTCTAAACTTTTAATTTCCCCAGACTAGAGCACCCTCCCCACTGCTCTCCCAACATCTCCCAAGTCCTCAGGGAACTTAGCGCACCACACATCTCCACAAGTAAGAGCCCTGACAGCATTGCTGTCCCAACTCCTGGAACTTGTCCCAGAAATCCAGAAAGACACCACACAACCTTTTACTCCCTTCCTGTGAGGCTTGGCATCTCCCGCAATACAGCCTGCTCCCTCCTTTGTTGTATAGAAGCAGGGAAGGAAATGGGGAAGCTGAAGACTCAGAGTGAAAAGGCCCAATAGGATGGAAGTCCCTAGGACATTAAGTTGGCAAAGAACTGACCCAAAATGCTGCCATAGGGTTATTTCTAAGTGGCCCAAGGCCCCAAAAAAGAATTTCCATCTTTAGAAAAGTAGAGGGAAACCAACTACCTGTTCTGGGTCTGTCTTGAACCCTTCACTGTGAGGCCCTTCTCTCTCTCCTCCAAGTTTCACGAACTAAAGTGCTAAAACAAACAAAAACCACAGGTTTGCCAAGGTAATGGATAATGGGAAAGGGTGGGTTTGTCAAAGTTGGCCTAAAAGAATACAATCCCATCTAATTAACCTTTAGCTCTCTCTTTGAAACATTTAGACCTTGCTATAGGAAGTGGGATGGAGGCATGAGGGCAGAAGAGGACAATACAAGATCTGAAGCCTACTGTAAGTACCTTTCTTCCTCTGGACACAATCAAGGAAAGAGCAAAATTAAACAAAAAGGCTGCTTTGCCAGTTTCATTTTGTCTGTGAGCAGTAACTCCATTAGTGAGAGGGAGGAGTTAGTATTTTGGGAAGAAGAGTACAAAAGGAGCATGGCGGCAGAAGTGAGAGGGCGAGAGGGGAGAGAGGAACAGACAAAATCAGAGGAGTAACAGGTCCCACAGACCACAAATACCTCTCCCTTGGTGCCCCCAGCCTGGCAACTACATTATGTTCAAAAAGGGCTCGGGGTGGGTTTAGGAGTGGGATCCCTAAGGAAGTTACCTAGACAAGCTTGTGTTGTTGGTTGGGGCTCGGAAAGGCTAATTGCTGGAAAGGACTCCCATTCTACTCTTGCTTTGAGCACAGCCACCTATGACTATAGCCAACTGGGCTTCTGGGTTACCATTGGGGGTGGGTGGGAGGGGGGTTGGGGGAAGGGTATCTGTGAGGCACCAAAGAGCTTAAGTCCACAGATAGTTCCTAAGGAATCAGGCATTTTCATCCAGAAAAATGACAGCAGGTTGGGTGGATCACAGAACAGGCCTTAATACTCACCAATACCTGGTCATGATGCAGAGTAACCAAAGGCATAGGGCCAACGTACCAACAAAGATAACATAGTTACCTCATTCACACCCAGCAGCCACCCACCAGCCATCTGCTTATTCTGCCAATAACCACCAGGGCCCAGGAAGGCAGTTGGGATACAGTTAGCGGTAGCCTGGAAATGTCCAATTTGGATTGATGGCTGGCATCATCTATCAGCCTAGATATCAGCCTCATCTTGCAGCGATGAAATTCAAAGAGTTTGCCATAGAATACCTGGGCAGCAAGAGCACAGCCAGCATTAAGTATGAAGCCCAGTTAGTCATTTGCAAAGACGTTTCAAGCTTCTTTGTGGTAGATAACCACTTGAAAAACGGAGAGAAGACCACAGTCACAGATAGGGTCCAAGGCATGCAAAGGAAGGCAGTGCATATCTACAGGATCATGGGCTTGGCTTAGAAGCAGTGGAAGGCCATGCACTTGGAACACATAATACAATGCAGAACAGAACGAAGGCCCAGAGGAAGAAGAGATTGGCATATTAAATGATAATCTAGCAAATGATGGTTGAAGATTGAGAAGATTGTTGAAGAACCAAAGTACAAAATTATTCAGTGCCAAGAGAAAGCAGATGGAAGACTGCATGCTGTTGGCCAAGCATAGGTCCAAGAGGAGGTGGTAAGGAAGCTTGTGCAGGACCTTCACATAGAGGCAGGAGTTAGCCAGACTGGAACCTGAAGGACCTGGGGCTCTCCACTGGCTGCCTTGCTGGGTCTCGTATTCCTCTTCGAGGACCTTCACCCATCAGGTAGTATTGCAAGGGATTGGGCCACAGTTCTGCTTTGATAATCTCAGCAATCCTGTCGAATTCTAGAAGGCTGTGGTCTGAGAACCAGTTGAAGAAACTGGGGATAGTGTTTCCTTCCCGATTCCTGTGGATATGGGCCTGGGGGTCTTGGCCCCGGTGCCAACGTATTGGGGTGGAAAGAGACACCACCCTACCAGAGGATCTGCGCTCATATTCCTTGACGAGCCCCTCATTTCGGAAGTAGGGGTTGCTCTGAAAGATGAACTTGAATTTGCAGCCTGCTCTGGGGTGTTTAAGCTCCTCCACCTCCAAATTGATCATGTACCGCATCATGTCTTCATCTTGGCCACTGATCATCGGTGACAGCTGGGGGTGGTTCCGAAAGGCAGTGACCCAGAAACCTGGGATATTCTGGATAATGAAACTTCTGCGTTGCATATGGAGCCTTCTCATGCGGCCAAACTTGCGCTCCAGCTGAAGAAAGGCCCTGTCAGCCTGGGCATTCACGTTTGACAGCTCCTGATCAATGGCCTCTAGTGAGTCCATGCAGTTATTGATCTTCGGGGCCCTAGGCCGTGACTCCTCTTTCAGTCCTCCTATCACCTTTTTTTCCTTCTGTATCATCTTCTTTTCCTCCACCACCTCCTCTGCTCCTCCCTCCTTTTCCAATGCCGCTGAGACTACGCACTTTTTGGTCGTCATTTCCTTGGCCTTCGCCCGAGGCATCAAATGAGACCCCAAGCCCCCAGCGCCACAGGCTTCTAGAGCTTTCTCCCCAGCAGGGCAGCGAGGCTCTCTACGCTGACAGCCATTTTCCTGGCTATTGTCAGTAACCACCGAGGCGGCAGCAGCGGCAACCTCCAGGCCATCAGCGGGAGATGGAGCCTCTTTCTGGCCGGCTTTGGTGGCGGCACGGCCGCGAATGCCAGCAACTCGGATGCGAAGCACGGGGCCACCGCCGGCGGGGTCCCGGGGTGCGCCTCCCTCCGCGGTGGTCCCCAAAGCGCCCTCACCTGTGTCCGCCATCACTTGTGTCACCTCGGTTTCCTCGCCCTGGCACGGGTTTAGGTCTGGATATCCCGGGGCATGCTCTGGAGGAGTCTGCCCGCAGGCTTGCAGGTCAGGGTCGTTACCGTCATCCCGATCGCTCATTTTGGGTGAAGTCAGACCTGCAGCGAGAGCGTCCCTTGTCCTCTGCAGAAACTGCGCTCCGCCCCTCGCGCCACCCCTCTTTTCCGCTCCTGGGGGACGCTGCCATAGCAACCAGTGACGTCACCGCGGTGCGTCTTACCACCGCGCGAGAGCTCGCCGAGCCTCGCGATAACACGGGGCCGCCGAGGCTGTGCCTTTGTCTTTGGGGCCCGGGGTGCCGTGGTTTTCATTCATGGATGCAGACCACACTCCAGCCTGTGAGAACTGTGTGAATGTGAATTTGTAAGGGCACTAGATGAATTTCTGGGAGGCATAAACTTAACTTTGTCCCCAAATATTTCCTTAAGAAGTAAGGAAGGCTATTGTCCTTGTGAATCAGTCAGCTCATAGGGCTGCTTCTGTTTAAGCAAAGTGGATTCGGGTCTTTCTTTAATGTATGGATTCATGCCTGTTCCCAAAGATTTGAGAGGAGCAGAGCTTAATTTTTAAGAAAATCAAGATGTTGATATTTTTAATGTGCTCTTTTAAAAATTAGGAGCCGCTGAAAGGGAAACGTAGCTCATCTTAACAATGCATCATGGTTATTTCCATTTGCTTCACAGATTTAAAAGGGTATGTATTTGGCGCAACGTAGACGAAGAAAACTGAATTAATCCTCTTAAGTAGCAAAATATATTTTTCCTACTTAAAGGTGACCCACCCAACTCCCCCCACGCATGCGCCTGCCGATTTAGCCTGTAAACCTTGCAGAAGACGTAATCTCAAATTTAAAATTTTAAATTTACATACATCATATATTGTTTATCCTCAGGTTATAATTTTAATCTAAAAGAAGTTCCTGCTTAACGTGGGCATGAAGCCAGCCAAAATTTGCTCCTGTGATAATTCACTGAAGGGCGTCAGCAGTAATATCAACTGCAGGCGACAAAAAGATTTGTTGTCTTAAGATATTTTTAGTATCGTTTAAAATATTAATGCTAAAATATTGTTTTTTATTTAGGACAGCTCATACAATTCATTTATTAGTGATGTCACTGTTTTGTTTGGTGAAATATGAATATGCTGGTGCTAATCTTTAGACAATTGCAAGTACAAAGGAAAACTTCAATTTGCATGTTTACGTTTAATTTCTTAGATTAACATTAGAAAAGCAATTCTTACTGTAACTCCTTGTATCAGAAACTCCATTCCAGAGCAGTGCAGATTATGATCACTTTCAAATAAGAAGTACAAAGAGCATCTAATGTGAAGAATTCGGTAAAAAGGATTAAAAAAAAACACATAAAGATATACTGAGAGTCCTAGTGAGGACAGTAGTGTGGACCTGAATGAGGTACTCATGGGAAGACGCTGCGGACATTACAGAACAACAGCCTGTCGTGCAGCTTTGTATCTTAGCTTAGGAAGGTTTTCCAGAGAATTCATAAACGATTAAGATATTTTTGTACCCCTAGTCAGCCTACTAAAGGAAAGAATGTGCAGATCATTGCTAGTTAATCCATTATTCTTAAGGTGCAGAGGAGTCACTTTCCAGACTACAATTGTTTTTGTCTCCCCTCTTCCCTGTTTCTTTTAATAAATCCTTTTGTTGTCAAGATAAAGTGAAATCAACCTATTTGTCCTCCTCATAAACAGCATGCTGTAATTGAGTTATTCTTTGACAATTTGTTTCTTTTCCTGAAGAATCTTTGCACTATTTAAGGATTAATTCCCTTGGATTGTAACCTACTAAACCAGTATGTAGAGAAAAAGCAAATGCTAAATGAAAATTGCTTTGTCATGCAGGGGGATAAGAAGTTTGCTATTTGCAACAGAAAATTATGTAAGACTACTAGCAATTGACTTTTTTCTCTTGTTTTATATACTATTTTTAAAAAATATTTATATCTCCAATACTTGAAACATCCCTGTCTCCATCTTTGATTATTCCTGTCAGCATAATCATTCAAGCTTATCTGTAAATTGCAGCAGGTGTTGAAAATGTATTAATTTCATAATATAAACCCAAGGACAGCGATGTTAACCACCCATGGTCAGATGTATATTAATTAGCAAATTGCCTCCTCCTATGAACAGCCTTCCATTACACTTTATCATTCTAATATTCTGATAGTCCTCTGAATTTCTATAGCTGTTATGACCTTTCCAACCATTTTAGTACCTATGCACCCCCTGTTCTTTAACTTTCACATTGTTTCATACAGGTCAGTCTCCTCATCCCTGCTAGAAAAGGATGACTCTAATGGCCCTTCTTTCTTAACATCTGTCATAGAATAGCCCAGTGACTATCTCATAGAAAATTTTAATGAAACTATTTAAATGAAAATTTTATAGGTTTTTACCAAAATACAGGTATGACCATGTTGGTATATTGTTTTTAGTTGGGTAGATATATATTATAGGTATCAATTATATTTTACCTTTTTGAATATTAGAACATAGGTTATTTTCGTCCACAACAGAGCATGTTCTGTTTACAATTAGCAATAAATCTCACTACATAGAAAAAAACATAATTTATGATTCCATGGGAAAATGTACACAGAAAATGCTATTAAAATTTAAGAGGTGATTTTTCTTTGCTGCTGGACAAGGAATTGAACAGAAGTACAAATATGCAGTCAAAACTTTTGAATTTACTAAAATGTAAATACTGAAATTTATTAAATAGCCACCATTGTATTTGTTTAAAACTTTCTCCTACTTATCCTTTGTTGTGATTCTCAATTTATTCATCAGTTATTTTCCTTATTTCAGTAAGCATTATTAGAAATTGTTTAGACCCCCTCATTTAGTTAACTAGTCTGTGGTTTTATATTTTTTCCTCAAGGTTTTGTTTTGTTTTGGTATATTCCTCTGCCTCTTCATTTTGTCTAAAACTATATGTTAATTTCTATGGCTTGAGCTAAGCAATTTCTTTAACTTGATTTGTTGCCCTTATTGTGCAATTACAGGTTGCAGGATATTCCCCTAGGTTGTTTGCCCAGGATCCCAGGGTGTCTTGGGTTATAGACTGAGGTCTCTCCACCTATTTAGATGATTGGCGCTTTAGTGCTGGCACAGGGTAGGAGCCAAGGAGCAGGAGGTGAAGAGATTGTTGCTAGACTGCAGGATAGTTCAAGGCTCTGTAGAGGCTGTAACTGCTCCAGCTGTGGGGGAAGGTGTGCAGCCACCCTCTCCTCTAGGCCAGTTCCTCAGTCAGAGCTTTTCTGGCAGCCTCGGGATAACACTGATCCTCAGCTGTGGTCCAGCTCTGGCCTACAGGTTCTGCAAAACAGTACTTTCCCCAGGGGTGCAGGCAGGAGCAGAGTAATCTGGGAGCTGCAGTTTGGACTGCTGACTGGTCAGTTCCAGTAGCCTTTACAGGCAGGTAGAGTAAGTAGCAGGTGTTTCACAGGGTCTGTGGTCCCCATCTGTAAAGACTGCTTCCCTTGCAGACCTCTCAATACTCTCTGAGGATTGTGTCCCAAAGGGGGGAATCTTCAACTTGGGTTTTTTGGTTTGTTTTTTTTTAAGATTTATTTTTATTTATTTATACAAGCACTGGGTACAGTCAGAAGCGCGGGAGGGTGAGAGAATTCACCAGAGCCAGAGCGGGGAGCAGAGCAGGCAGAAGGATCGAAGTGCACTGCTGAGAGGAACAGCGGGCGGCAGGGGAGGTCTGCACGCCATGTGGGACCCTCCTCCGGTGGCCAGGGAGCAGCCGGGGATCGAACGGGCGCTGCAGAGGCTGCGGGCAGCTTCACAACCCAGCGCTCAACTGCTGCACCACCGGGGAGGCCCTTCAACTTGTTTTATTCCCAGCCACTTCCAGGAGCAGAGTTTTCCCTTGTGCACGAGTTCCAGCTGCCAGGGCTAGAAGTAAAGACCATAAAGACCACAGGTGAAAGTCATACTAGTAATGGCTCCCAGTGGCGTGAGGTGTTTGACATGACAAGGGAACACGCTGTAGAGAGGAGCCACTGAGGTGAGAGCCCCAGATGGACCTCATTTGTTCCCAACAATTTTCTACTAACAGGGTCTTCCCAAAGGTTCAGACTACACCTGCCTAACTCCAGGGGTGGCAGGCTCAAGATGATAGTCACTACTTTGGACAAGGCTGCTCCTAATAGAAAGGACTGTCCTATGACTCAGGTCCTCCATAGCAGGGGTGGTGGTTGTTTCATCCAGCCCTGGCTTTTGGTTGAATCCTAGCCTCTGTTATCCACCCTTGCCAGTGTCTATCTGTCCCCCAAGTGCTAGACTGTGGAGCTCTACTCCCCAGGGTCCTATTTTCTGAAGGAAGGTCCCTTCATTTCCCAGCACCTCGTTGTATGTAATCCTCTCTCTAATATAGTCCCCAGTACAAGGGCCCTCACATGGGCTTGAAAAGAAGGCTCCATATCATAGCTGCCCCACCCTTTCTTAGGTCATGCTGCCCTAGTGATTTCAAATGAAATTGTTAGAATTTTTCCTACCTTCTCTAATGTTATTTTTCCCTATTAAAAAAACAAAACAATTCTCCAATTGCACAGTATTTTTCAGAGACTGTTGCCTTTATGTTATTCTCTTGATTACATAGGGAGGAAGTGAGGCCAGTGGCTTTACTATTCCACCATCTTGCTGGAACTCACCCTTGACTTGATTTTAGAGGAAAAAGCTTTATTTTTCAACAGTGAATATGATGTAAGCTGTGAACTTTTAAGATATTACCTTTATTATGTTGAGATCATATCCTTCCCATGTATCAAACCATCACTGCACCTCAGTAATAAATACCATTTGGGGGCCTCCCCGGTGGTGCAGCGGTAGAGCGCTGGGTTGCGAAGCTGCCCACGGCCTCTGCGGCGCCGGTTCAATCCCCGGCTGCTCCCCGGCCACCGGAGGAGGGTCCCACATGGCGCGCAGACCTCTCCTGCTGCCCGCTGCTCCCCTCAGCAGTGTACTTCGGTCCTTCTGCCTGCTCTGCTCCCCGCTCTGGCTCTGGTGAATTCTCTCACCCTCCCGCGCTTCTGACTGTACCCAGTGCATGTATAAACAAAACAAACAAACAAGCAAACAAATAAATAAAAACATGCCTCTAAAAAATAAATAAATAAATAAATACCATTTG